GTGACCAATAAGAGCTGTCACCTTACATAAAGTAGCAAAAGGATCTTGCAAATGTGCAGGATGCCCCTCCCGAGCCAAACAGCGCCCTGTGAAGAGCTATTTACTGGAGCGGCTTCCTTGAATTCACATTCCACGGTAACCGGATAGGCCGAGACAGTGAGCCATAGCACCTTCCTCATTGGTGTGTCCCTCTTCTAACGCTAATAGAGTGTCTTCTTGGGACCATCCGCGCGATCACCGCAAAATGTGCCTTTGAAAGAAATATATGCGCAAAGTGGATTTCGGAATCCCAGGGAGGAGAGGGGAAGGAAAAGTCGTATTCTAAGAAAATTTTCTAAATTAGAAATTAGGGGTTTTGGTGACAGTAGAGTCCCAACATCTTGACCAAGTAGGAGTCTGACTTACTCTAACTAGTTGGCCAACCAGAACAGCAACAATTGTTCCAGCTTTCCACTTGCTGCAAAAATCTGAGCAATACCTGAAAACTCTTTACCCTGCGTGCTTTCTTGTCACTGTGCTCATTTTCCGCGATCTCAGGGGCGTGCTTGGCGCTAGTTGGTTTTAACGTCGTTTTGTGATAAAAGAGGACGAGTGCGAGAAGAATATCGAGGAAGGCGATACCATGTTTACATAGGATACCAGATACTTAGTAGTGGTAAGCAATGCACGGCAATTAGTATCCTCTGTTTGAGCGCCCTCCAAAGGGAGGGGGGGGAGTAGGGACTGGTGAGGCGCCATTCCGGAAGGGATCTGTGCAGAAATGAGATCCGATTGCATAACTCGTATTCAAACCCAACCCTGACCTTGCTCCTCCTATGGACTCTAACTAATAAATGCCTCTCTGCATACTCATGGGGGTTATTTCGCGTTTTTTATTGAGTATCTTTAATGCCTTTCCCTACCATCATCCGATTAACACGACAGAAGACAGATTAACAACAAAACCAACAAAAAAAATACTCAAAAACAAACCACGAAAACCTTGAATGACACCCAACTCTCACCTTTTCTCTTATTCATTAACCCCAAGCGAATACGTTACATCAGCTCAGCTACGACATTCTTTGCCTGAACCATGAACTAAAAATCAGACTTCAATATCAACTCCATACAAACATTTTCATAAACATCCCCTTCTTTAATAAAATCCTACTTCCTTCCCCACAAGCCTCCGTTCACCTATTTACCCTTATACCATATCACCAAATCACACAATCTTCCCATTCACTTCATAAACCTTAAATTCGATCCAAATCAAATAACTCCACTAACTCTGATATCTTACCTCCATACAATGTTATCTTGATAGTGCTACAGGTATCGTTTTACCAAACTCTGCTCCGAGATCCACCATAAGTTTTGAATGATTAATCACTTCATCCGAATCTGGAAAAACAAAATATTTATACAAAACCTTCCATTTAAAAAATTTCTTAAAAAGTATAAAGTTCTATCCAGACTTTAGCTCAACATCCAAAATGTTTCCCACTCAGAAAACAAATTCACAACTTCATCAAAAATCACCACTATAATCAAATAAAAAAACAATAAAAAAATCCAAAACCTCAAAACATCTATCCTAAGACAAAATCTAACCTCTTAAAGCGTTTCGTAGATCCATTCAAATACTTTTTCCTAATACCAATACAATCTATAATACATCACTCTCCACTACTTCCGACCATTCCAATCTCCTACCACCCTAACTCAAAGGCGCCATTCACTTGTCAATCGATAGGAATCAAGAACTCCTGACGCATTTCACAGCAGGAGGCAAAGGACTCGTGGGACGATAAATGCGTGGATGCCGATTAGTCGCTGTCCCGTGGATGATCAGATAGACGGGGCGGACTTGGAATTCGTGAAGGATGATCAGCCGACGGATCTCAGCTGTAAGGACAAACTGGTAGGGATTTCATTTCATCTCACAAAGGCGTCCAACGAGGGTTAGATACGGAATGATGGGGGCACTCTACAGAAGCAACAAGTGAAACCTAGAAGAAGGCGGTATTCCAGCGGGCCACTGCCACCTGTTCCAACCCATGGTTTTTTTTTGATTGCTCAGCTACTGGAGCGCTCCACTTTTTTTATGTTTCACAATTCTCCATTGGAGTGAAGCTTGAAATAAACTGGCAATTCGTCTAGAAGTGAAAGAGCCAAATTTTCATAATTCAAGCAATCTATTATGACCAACTTTAAATAAGTTAGCGATGTAATAATGGCAACCAATGTGGTATACGCGATGAGTGAAAAAAATCAAATTTTAAAAGCAAAACCTTATGTTGCAATGCGATGGTTTAGCTACGGTACGGTAGTATCCGGAGCAGAAAGGGTGAAGAGGCATGGGTCGCTCAGCATTAACGTTTGCTCCGGGATCCGAAATACTGAACTGGGCTCCTACTTTGGACCGCAAAGCCTTCATCCCTCCAGCACTCTGTACTAGAGTCTTTGACCCAGCTTACTCTAGAGTCTTTGACTCAGCTTTACTAGATCTTTGACCAGCTCTTGGAAATCCTTGATGGGCCCCGAGCGCATACCCGGGAACCGTTGCGATCATGGAAGAAAATAGGAGGCGGGTTTGGCATATTAAACTGTCGATGTGATCGTGCCAAGAACTTTTCAAACCGTGCGACTAATACACCACAGCTGAAATATCTACCTTTCATACAGGAATTTTGGCCCAACCGCTCCCCAGGCAATTTTCTGGTGCTAACTTGCTTGTGGAGATCGGATACTCCAAACAATTGACCTGCCTGCCAGCATTTGGGCGGATCACGGATGCCGTCCCTCTAAAACGCAGGTTGGCGCGATGCAGCACCGCGGTAGATGACATCGCGCCGGCACTGAACTTTTAGAGCGTGCCCTGAAAGTTTTCCCATTTGTTAATGAAGGGACGTCGAAGTGCAACTAGCAGTCAGAATGAGCAGTGAGCAGAAAGGGCACTAGGTAGAGCTGGTTAATAGCTGTGCCCGGCGATCAACTGCGGTCTGAGAAATAGAGTCCTGAAACCAATATCGACCCACCTTCTCTCCCACCACTCTGCAGCCACTGCCAAAGGTCAGTCTTGATAGTGAACAAAGCCACCTTTCAAGAAGGTTTCCATTTCCTTCTTACTGAAACATTGAACTCTACGAAGGGCGCAACTCCTTCGTGTACCCGCTCAGAATGGAACACCGACTCATCCCTGGGAAATGCCTTTCTCGGACAGTGTCAAGGCATGATCGTATTATCAATGTTGACTTGAACCGAAGCAAGCTTTTCATCCTGAGCTAATTGAACCATGTCGAAGAATTCCTTGTGGTCTCAGGCCTTCTGCACGTGTATGGCACGGTGCAGAAGCCTGAGACCCAAAAGAATTCTTCGACATGGTTCATTAGCTCAGGCATGAAAGGAAGTAGGTTATAGTAGTACAAAGGGAAAAGTAAGAAACGAGTTACTGTAAAGGCCGTTTGCTGTGTTTAGTTAGAGGGCTGTTGTGGTTAGTTTCCCATATAAAGTAAAGTGGTCCCCCGAAAATTGATCAGCCCGCAAGCCTGAATACGGCCCCAACTCACACATTCTCTTCCGGTATATTGCGAATCGAACAGTTTAATGTCTAGCCCCTTTCATTCAACTCCCTCTCTAAAAAAGTACGAATAATTACGATGCTTGGTAAGCTCAGGTTCAGTTCCCGTTCACCGACCTAACTTTTCCCCAAATCTTACCCACCCGTGGTAAACCAACACAGTAACTAAGGCGGTATTTCGCAAAAAATTGTTGCCTGTTCTTTTGTGAAGCCATGCCTTTCAATTCGAATTTGATTGGGAGATTTTTTGTTGTAATTTTTCTGCCAAAAGAGTTGGTTAGGTGGAGAGCGCTCCATAAAAAAAGGGCTGACGTTCCGAAACAGAAATCGTTTGTCCTCAGAGGCCTTGACATAGCTCAAGTTAGCCTCTTAGGCCTCTAAGGCAGCGTTCAGACTACGCGACAGCAGCGGTTCAGTCGCGCGTTCGTCGCGATCGATGCGCATGCTTTCAATTGCGTCGATCGCGGACCTGAAGCGCTACCGTCGCGAAAACTGAACGCTGCCTAAGGACGACGATTCTGTCGAAACGTCAGTTCATTTTCAATAAAGTCTTCCACCTACAAACCTCTTTGGCAGAACAAATTACAACTCAAAAGTTCACAATAATGCCGAGGTTTTATGAGAGAAAAGTTGGACACTATTGTTTGGGAGAGTTCAGTCGTCTGGAAATTCCGTAACAACAGCGAAGCTTCATGTCTGTCCCAGAAGGTGTCGATCATCTAGAAGACATTGTAGCCCTCGAAACTTGAGACTGTACGACACTATTAGCGCAGTGGTTCCATTGAAATCCTACTAGCGAAATCTTAATTCGGTACTTTCATACGATGTCTATCGCCTTAACCTATAACTAGTTGTCGTTGACGGCGAAAACTCGGCCAATCCTCGCCGGAACTTCGTCGTCGTCGTCGTCGGCAACTCGGTGGTGACGGCGCGGTGTCGTCGACAATCTCTTCGTTGCATAATCGTGTGTCTATAATCTCATACAGCAACTTACTCGGACGTATGGAAAGTTTACTCACAGCATTCTCACACCCTAATCGATACTTTTATTTGAAGTTTCTCCTTAGCGCCTCTTTGATCAACAGTGATCAATTTCCGTTCCAATCCAAGCTTCTCTTAACTCTTTGTTCCCTCGGAAATATGATTTTTTTGTTATTGCTGGTAACGAAAAAACAATGAATTCGGTTTCAGTTTTTCCAAAAACAGTACCAGTTTCACTTTTTCGGCCGCTTTATGTGAGTACTCCAACTCTGAGGAGGTTCCTATGAACTGAAGAAATAAGCAAATAGGGAATGACACCGTAATTTAGAATGCAAAAGAGTTACTCCGAGGAAGAGGGGAGGAATAGAAATATTTAAAACTTGAAATTCGTGATAATTGAAGAACTTGGAACTTTCGAAAAAAGCAGTGATTGAAAAGTTATCCTTTTAAGAAAATGGAACTTGCGGACACATCCGATGAAATCGACCAATTGGACGTGGAGACAGCTGAAGATCCGGTTAGAACCTGTTTAGATGGATCGATAATCGATTTTTAATTTGCTGTTACGTCCGTAAACCAGACGCGAAATCAGTGGTAATTCAGGAGACATCTCAGCATGCGGGGGGAAAATTTCGCGAAATACGCCCCCTTACCCCTCCCCACCTCATATCACCACCTACCGTCTTCCTAAGATCTCTCAACTCTCTACCATGTTTTCGAAAAGATTCCTCAGGTTTTTCCTCGAAATTGCGCCTTTCTTTGGCTGGGGGGGGGGGAGGTGGTGTATGAGCAAGAAACGTCAGTAATCCAAAAACATAATTCTCGAAAACAACTGCGCCTCCCCCTCCCTCCACAGACCAAATACGCCCCCCCTCGACGGGGAATCGGCGCTGTTCGGCGACGGGGCAGGGGGGGGGCATTTCCCCATCATGTGTCGACCCATCTAGATAGCCTTTTCTTGAGTTGACATGGTGGCTAGACGAGCTTGCTCCAGCTTCACAAGAGTTCACAAGTTTCACCAGAGTGAGACTTGTAAACCGGAAGTAGTGAAGCAGTGAAAGTGCAAAATGCCCCCCCCCCCGTCGCCGAACTGCGCCTGGGATTCTCTACTTGCCCCGGGTATAACATAGCTCTGGTTCGCCAGAATCGTAACCGGAGCACTAGGTTTATTGGTTTTGCTTCCTGTGACTATTTTCAGGAACATTACATATTTGTACTTTTCAGACAACCGAACTGGTCAGCGACGATGCCGTGGTTGCCGAACCACGTTTGAGCAACGAAAGCGCCAACTCAACGGCTTCCTCGTCTTCATCGTCAAAGCGGAAGTCATTTCAACCGCAGAAGAACATTGAAGATGTTGAAGAACATCCGGATGAGGAAGATGACGATGAGGCCCCGTCGCAGGAGATCCATACCAACGAGGAAATCGCAGCTAAGAATGACGACAAACCAGAGACGGAGAACAGTCGGCAGTTTGACGGTCTTAGCGCGCTCCAATCACAATTGAATCAACCTAACATGAAGTTCCATGAGATGTTTGAAACACAAAGGAAACTTTACAATAACATTATTGAACAGCAAAAGAAATTCTTTCCACCACCGCCTCCTCCACAACAACCGACTGTCGATCTCGTGAGTGTACTGCGTACAAATTGTTGCTGTTTTTGAAAAATCTTTATTCAACAATTTGTTCAGATGCCTGAAAAAGCTCGAGCCAGAGACTTCACCCAGTTGGCACAAACCCTCAAGACCGAAATCATCGACTCATTGTCAGGATCGATCGATAAGGTCTGTGACTTTGATAACTAAAAGGATAAACTCTACACCGTTGACGAACCCTTTTGGGGTGCGCCACGCATCCTACTTCCACTGTCCTTGATAGTGGCTTATTAAAGACAGCTCCCGCGATAAAAGTGTCATGGATAGTTGCTTTTCAATTATGAAACAGTAGCTGATAAGTAATTCCCCAAAGAAGAAAAAAAGCAAGAAGAGTCCTCAAGAACACATAAACAAAATCGCTCCCTGGCAGTCACACCTTAAAAACACGCGGTTTCAAAAACTAGTTGCGTCTGAATTTAGGGTTGAGCGGTATGCGTGCCAATCTTTTAAGTGTGTGTATCTGGTCGCACGGCTTTTGGAGCCACGAAAATTGTAGTGCGCCCGGTGGTTTTTTAGCGGCCTTTTACACGCTGCGAGATGGGTTGGAGTTGACTGTATGTGCTCCCAATGAATAAACTGTAATAAAGGAGAGCACAATTGTCCATGGGCACGAGCGTGGTCAGCAAAATGGCATGCATGTTTCGCGTATTTATGCCCGCCGCCCCCACCATTAGAACACTGCGAGCGGCCGTTCGTCGGAGGACATCTATCAAGTGGGCGGTCCAACTGGGCGGGCGTTAGAACTAGAACTTTGAGGGACTGTAGCTTGCTCCTCGCTCGTCGTGGAGTCGAATAGAGTGGGACACTTTCTAGATTGGGTGACTGTATCCTTGAGCACCAGGAAGGAGACCATGGTAACTACTTTGAGGCGCGGGGCTGTCTTCAAATGCGATGTGGCCTATAGAAAAGACGTACGGGAGCCAGCCGATGTGAAATACAGTGTGTTTCCCCTCCCAAATACCTTTTTATCAACCCTAGAAGGTAGATGGCTTGTTCTTTCGGGGCTATCCGGGATTTAACCACCGAACTGCGCTTGTGGTGAGCGAGCCTTTTGGACCCGCACACTCCCTTCCGCCGTGTGGGTTTGAGCGACCTTGCAATAAGAGTCAAATGCTACAGCCCTAACATAACGACATGTGCTTGGTGCTAGCGGCCCTCTCCAAGACGCATATAGCCTCACTTCTCGCTAAACAGTTAAATTTTGGAATTATGGCGTGTTGGTAAATATTGCGACTGGGTTGTACTGAAGGAGTAAATCGGGGGGAGGGGGAGGGTGGTTGTATTCGGAAATGCGTTCTGTTTACAGCTTCTATCGTTGCACCCATGTTTCGCCAAGGGTGGCAAACGGGACGTTGCAGGTTACGCCATGTGTGCAGCCTTTCCACCAGGGTCTGTGTGATTTGATAGTAGACTAACTAAGGAACAGCTAGTTTGCCAACTGGCGCTACGCGGACCGCAAGCGCCGGCCCCCCACGACACACAACAACCGTGGCATCTTATCAGTAGGTCGAAGTATTGACCGGGGGGGGGGGCATTTTGCTAACTTTACAACTTCCGCATCTACGTGTTCCGAGCCATCGAGAGAGCCTTCTGAGCATTGACAGGTTTTAACATGGTGGCTGGACGAGCTTGCTCCAGCTTCACAAGAGTTCACAGGTTTCACCAGAGTGAGACTTGTAAACCGGAACTAAAGAAGCAACGAAAGTACAAAATGCCCCCTCCGTCGCCTAACAGCGTCTGTCTATGCTCGGTCATTCCACTGCCTTTTCCTTGAGTGTGTGTGTTTTTTTTCATGAGAACTCGGCTGCCATATCGTCGAACACAGACACAGTTATATCCGCCTTAGGGACCAGTACTTCTTTACTCTCTCACATTTTCGAACCATATGATATCCATACCAAAAATATTATTTTCATGATCGTAAATACATTAGAAAACCGTTTTATTCCAGGTGTTGAAAGAGTGGGCAGCCAACGAGATGGCACGTCTTCAGCAAGAAGCAGCTCGACCACCAGCCGTGCCACCGATGTTTAACACGTTGTTCCCGGCGCCAAATCCTCTAGCGGCGCATTTTGGCCTCAATCCACACAGTGAGTAATATTGTACAGCCATATGAAGCCATTAATACACCGAGTAATCGTAGCCGTTCACGTGGATTTGAGCAGTGCAGGGCGCCAATAACCTTCGTTTGTGCAAGGAAGGAAAAAATGGCATTCAAGTAGAAGTTGAAATTGGATCGCCAATCCCGTTCTCTTTCCTTTTTCTGTATAGGTAGGAGTCCTCCTCACCGCTGTGGGAATGTCCATTTCTCAGAAGGATTTCCTCAGATTCCCAAGGTTTTTGGAGCCCACTGGCGGTAGTACTTGACATTGCACTGCCTCGTGTTACAAGCAGAAAGCGGCTTGGTTTGGAGGGGGCACTGAATGGAAGTCAGCCAAGCTTGTAAAGGCCACTGCG